GTGTCAAATTTGTTTTAACTAATATGGACAAAGTGATATAGTGGTATAATGGTATGAAGTTTGCTTTTTTGACAGCTTATAGGCTGTGCTGAATTCCAACCCTCTGAAGAAAAAGCAGAGCTTTTGAGAACTGAAGCTGTAGTAAATTATGGATCAAAGCACCTATCGAAACAAAAACTCAAAATTAGAAACAACAAAAATATTTTCCGAGCTGCTACTGTGGGAGATGAGAATGAAAGAGCAGCTTGTATGAGACTGGATCTTTCTTTAAGGCCTTGCTTTCCAAATAAATTCACACAGCTTATGCTCGTTGCTTATATAGATCAACAACAATGATAAAACAAACTCTCACTGTGATCTATTTTTTAATTGATCCACCTAAACAAAATTGAATATCTCTATTTTTAATATGAAGTTTGGAAAGAAAAGCATTGCTTTCTCAGAAATTAATCTTCCAGTCAAACGTATGAGTCCAAAGCAGCGTTCTGATAGAAATATTGCGCCTCAACCTGTAAAAAACTGAAAAAAAGTAAAAGAAAGGAAGCTCAAAATTTTGTTTTTTGTTTTACATTCCTATGGAGACTCTTAATGGTTGGTGGTGAATTATACTCAGATAGCTTTATGTAGCAATAGTCTCTGTAGATGGCAGAATATCCGATATTTAGAATTGCTGTGAATTTTGGACGTTATAGATGATGATCAGAGGAAAAGACCACAATTAGCTGCAAGAAAAAAAAAATCAACTATCACTTAAATTTTGCCTAAAAAGCCAAATGGAGGAATATTAATAGACATCATAAATACCTTTGAATCTTTTGCAAGATAGATGCATAGTTTTGGCTGTATATCTAGGATGGCTGTACATCTCTTTGGGTACTGGTTTTTTTGTTTTCTTCTGATTGTTGCTGGGTTATTCGCCCTTCTTGTTCCTCTGGCCATGTGTTTGTTACGTTTTTTGGTTAATTTCAGAGACTATCTTGTGTTGCAACATTTCACTCCTGGTGGATGCCAATGGCTGGATGGAGCCATTGAAAGGGTGTGCTAAGGAGAGGAAGAAAAACTGCCAGACCGAGAAGGCTTAGAAGAAGAAAAAGGTGGCAGACAGCATTCGCGATATGATTCTGCTAAGGCCCTTTGTCAACTTCTCCATTTCCCTTTTTTCCTTGTATGATAGGTGTCCTCTTCCATTGTTGCTTTGTTCAACACGATTGCTTCCATAACCATTTTTCCATGGGGTTGCTGCCTTCAACATAACCTTTTCTACTGCAGTACCTTTATTGTCTTTAATATTTTCTCGTGAAATATAATATGTCGAGAAATCTGAATTTTCTGTGTTTGAGGTTTGAAGCATCGAAATCTTGTGGAAGGTGGAGTAACCCAGGAAATGCAGGCATGAGAGTGCGGTGCGAGCTTGTGGGTTGCTTGCGGTTGAAGCCAAGGGAAATAAAGGCAGCTAAAGGTTTTCAAATGGTTGTAGTTGGGTGGATGGCCCTAGAGCAGTTGAAAATAAATTTGAAAATTGCAAGATGATGTAGGCAGTTGGTTGATTAATTAGTTAGATGTTTGCAAAGCTTCAGCCCAAAAGTGTGGAGGTAGGTTGGCAGCATGTAGAAGAGTCCGAGTGGTGTCTAGTAAGTGGCGGTCTTTTCTTTCAGCTAACCAGTTTTGCTCGGGAGTGTCGGGACAACTTAATTGATGGTTGATGCAATTGATTATTAGGAAATTCTTGTAATTGTTACTGGTGAATTCTCGGCCGCCATCAGATCGGAGAGTTTTGATTTGGGTATTGAAATTATTTTTGACCATTTGTGTGAATTACTGGAATTTAGGTTGAGCTTCATTTTTAACATGCATTAAAAATAACCAATAGAAACAAGAGCTATCATCAATGAAGATGTAATATCTGTAGCCATTTAAAGAGGAAATCGGGGCCGAACCTCAAACATCAGAGTGTATTAAGTTGAAGGGTTGAGTTACATGATTATAACACTTAGGAAAAGCTAACTTGTGGCTTTTAGCCACTTTACAGGAATTGCATAGAAAGATGGTGAAGTACTACATAGAGAAGAAATAAGCGTACATAAGATAGCCAACACACAATGGTGGGGTGTCCAAGACGAGCATGCCAAAGAGGGGTTGAAGCGAACTTGGAGTGAAATGCAATGGCTGTGGGTACTGTGGTAGTGCAAACTGGATAAAGACCGTCACGGCTGCGGCCATGAAGCAGAACTCGGTTCTCCATGAGATCTTTGATGATGAACTCGCTAGCATCAAAGGAAATAGAACAATTATTGTCGGAGGTAAGTTTAGAGATAGAAAGAAGATTGCGAGAAAGAGAGGGAACATGGAGGAGATTGTGAAGGCGGAGCTTACGGGTAAAGTCCGGTAGAGGTAGAAATGTCCTTGACCATTGTGTTGAATGGGTAATGAGGTGCTGTTGGCAATGGAGATTGAGTCAACACCTTGATAAGGAACTAGTTACTGTAGGTTGTGTGCTTCAGATGTGAGGTGCTTTGATGCACCGGAGTCAAGTACCCATTTAGTGGTAGGAGCTAGGTTGCACCGATATGGATACGGAGACACAGATACCACACGGAACAGATACGAGACACGTCAATTCTTAAAAATATAGGATACGAGTACTGCGCAGACACGACATTATAATTTATAAATCATACATAAAAATTAAGAAATATTCAAAGCATAATATTTGAAATTACAAAAAAAAAGTTACATCATTTGTAGCCTTGTAGCTTGTAATATCAAATTCAAAATAAAAGTAAACATTAAATGTCTAATACACCAACAAAAGCATAAACATAAATTGTCTAGCACATTAAGTTTCAACTATTCAATAGAAGGAATGATATGATTAGCTTCTTCATTGGTTTGTCTTTGAACTTCTATATCATCTTCAATAAATATCATAGCTTCTAATTTAGACTCATCAAGTGAAATATTAGCAATTTCTAATATTCCCATATCATCAAGAGACTCAAATCCACTCGGAAATAAGAGAACCTCGCTTGCAGCTGCGGAAGTAAATACGATTGGTCTTTTTTTTTTCGGATTTTTTGTTTTGTTTTTCAATATACACATTTATCGAATACGTGTATCCTTTTGAAATTAAATAGTATTTTAATTGGATACGGCTTTGCCGTATCTGACACGTATCAGTGTCGTATTAGAGGCATATCCATGTATCGGTGTATCAGATGCAGCACGCCTTCATAAATAGGTGTATTAGTGCAACATAGGGTCGGAGGTAGTTGTTGCTGAGACAGTAGAGCTCGCGGGTTCCAAGAGGGAGGTGGAACATATTAAAGGTTGCATCTATACCAACATGATAGATCAGAACAGCCTAGTTTTCCATAGATTTGACATGTTGGTTGTTGCAAGTTGGAACTGGGTGCTGATAGAGGCCGACTGGAGGAGAATGGTGGTTTGAAGGGAGCTCCTCTACCACGGGGTGATCTGAAAGGGTTGAAGGGGAAAGATTTGCCTCTGGACGAGCTGTTGCGTGAAGTTTACAATGCTTGATGTTCGATAGGAGGGGTGGTGTCTTTCTGCAGTTCATTTTGAATGTTGATTTCTTCACTGCACATGAGTGAGTACCTCAAGTCTGATAGGGTGGAGCGGGGTGCGGATGGCTACTTTAAAGGAGCTATAGGAGGAGGGTAGTCCCTTAAGAATATAGAGGATGATATCCTCGGTATCAATATGGGATCCGGCTGCTGCAATGTTGTCGACTAGAGAATTGATTTGTGCGATGTTAGACAAATCAAGAAAGTGTCAAGACAATTCGGTTACATGACAGCTGTAATGTACAACTGTACCGTACGGTTACAGCTCACACGAAATGTATAAATACATGTAACAGGTCTCTGAATGAATAGAATACATCTTCCTCTAAACTTTTAGTTGTCTCTGTAACACAGAGCTTCTCTGTCTTTATACTATAAAACTTCTCATGGTATCAGAGCAGCGCTGATCCACAAATTTTTTTTCTCTCTCTCGTTTCTTCTGCGTTCCGTCTCCAGATTCTAAAATGACTGATTCTACCTCTTCCTCACCTTCCATTGATAGCGTTTCATCTATCAATGCCATCCAAATCCCTCCACAACTAAAGTTCTTGATCGGCAATATCAAGAATCTAATATCAACAATCCTAACCTCTGATAACTTTCCACTATGGAGATCACAAGTGGAAAAAGTATTTGTTGCAAATGGGTTCAAAGGATTTCTCGATGGATCCTGTACATGTCCGTCGCAACAAACATCCTCATCTACTGGAGCTCAATCGGCGCATGATACATGGATATTATTGGATCAAAACCTAGCTGCGGCATTACTGTCCATCATTTCATCGTCTATCTTACCATATGTGCTCTCGTTGAATCACTGCGCCGAGATCTGGTCCATACTCAATCATCATTTTCAAGCTTCAACAAGATCGCAACTGAAAAATGAGCTCCAATTTCTTTCAAAAGGCGATCACACAATGACTCAATATCTACTTCTTGTAAAATCAAAAGTAGATGCGATCGCAACTGCAGGATGTAAAATAGATCCGGAAGATATTATACTTCATACGTTAAATGGATTACCGACAACATATCAGGCATTTAAAACGACAATTCGTACTAGCCGTCAGCCTACGGATCTTGATGAATTATACACACTTCTTTGCACGGAGGAGAAAACTCTTGCTCAAGAAGCTGTTCGTGATCTACAACTACTTCAAATCTATGATAAAACAATGGCATTAACTGCATCTCGTGGACGCGGGCGTGGTCGGTACAGTAACTCTCGTGGACGATCCAGCAACAACAACAGTTCTCGAAATCCAGCAGGATCGGGGGACAAACAATCAAATAGATCCATTATATGTCAAATCTGCACAAAACCAGAACATTCAGCTATCAAATGTTGGCATAGACATAATCCGGCATATCAAGAAACATAAAAAACTGCTTTATTCAGTCCATCAGATGTTGCCCAAACCAATGAATGGTTCTTGGACAGTGGAGCGACAACTCATCTAATAGCAGATTCTACTCAATTCAGCTCCGCAGAACCTTATACGGGTACATCACAAGTTACAATTGGTAACGGGCTTCAACTACCTATTCAAAATACTGGCAAAGGTCTACTTCCAACTCATACAGGTAACCTTAAACTAAATCACATTCATCATGTTCCAAATCTTTCATTTAACCTTCTGTCTGTATATCAACTAACTCGGGACAATGCTTGCACTGTATCATTTTCCTCCTCCGGCTATCAAATCAAGGACTCTCGGACTAATCGTCTTTTACTTTAGGGACCTAGTCACAACGGTCTCTACTCTATAAATCTGACCACAGTCACATCCTCGTTAGCTCTGTTTTCGACTCAAACGGTTCCAGACCTATGACACAGTCGCCTTGGTCATCTCAACCATCGCAAGCTTCAAATAATGGCCAATCAAAGCAATATAATCTGTACTGATTTACCCAATAAGAAGTGTAACAAATGTAATCTTGCTGAGAGCAAGCATTTACCGTTCACTTCCTCTGTGTCCACCACTGTTTCTACATTTGACCTCATACATTCGGATGTATGGGGGCCATCATCTTGTGTTTCAATACAAGGCTATCGCTACTATGTCTTTTTCATAGATGACTTCTCCCGATTTTGTTGGGTATTCCTCTTATATCAAAAATCATATGTAGTTCATAAATTCATTGAGTTCTATCGTTGGGTAAAATGTCAATTCAATAAATCTATCAAAATCATTCGTACAGACGGTGGCGGTGAGTATATAAACCATAAATTCCAACAAGTATGCAAAGCTTGGGGAATAACACATCAATACTCATGTCCCTACACACCGGCTCAAAACAGTGTTACCGAACGCAAACACCGCCACATCATTGAGACAACTCGAAGTCTTCTCATTCAAGCCCAAGCTCCACATGAATTATCGACTCAAGCCCTTCTTACCTCTGTTCATCTCATCAACATCATACCAAGCTCCAAACTTCACAATAAAACTCCCTATCAATGCATATACAACAAACTACTGGCTTATGATCATCTCAAGATATTCGGATGCTTGTGCTATCCTTGGCTTCGGCCTTACACCAAATCAAAATTATCACCACTATCTACACCGTGTGTCTTTGTTGGATACGCCGGCTCTCAAAAAGGCTATCATTGTTTTGATCCTAAAACTCACAAAATCTTTACATCTAGACACGTCGTGTTTAATGAAAGTAGTTTCCCTGTTATAATCATGCTACATCACATTCCAGCTCACCAAATCAACCAAACTCTTCCTACAATATATCACCTCTACTTCTGGTACCGTCATCAGCAATTTCAAAAACTCATACAAAATCTGTCTCTTGTCCCATGAACTTACAAACTTATTCTCAATAGCAAGCATTCCCACACAATCCAGCTCCACAAAGTCAATTCTCACCACCTGCACCCGATCATATATCCAATTCCAACAATATCACTACTGTCCTAATTCCAACTGATACAACCACCACCAAATTCAACCACCAGTCAATACACCCTATGCAAACACGTTGCAAAACAGGTCATTTGAAACCAAAGCCAGTATTCAACCTCATTCATCAAATTAATCATCAAGATCCGACTTCATACAGTCAAGCAAGCAAGCACAAACAATGGCGGGAAGCCATGTCAGAGGAGTTTCAAGCTCTTCAATCACAAGGCACATGGGATTTAGTCCCACCTTGCTCCAACCAAAACTTACTCGGATCTAAGTGGACATTCCGCACAAAGTATAATTCCGATGGAACTATAGCCAGATATAAGGCTCGATTGGTAGCCTTGGGTTATAAGCAAGAATATGGACTAGATTATCATGAGACCTTTAGTCCAGTAGTTAAAACACCTGCAGTTAGAGTTCTCATTGTTTTAGCTCTCCATCACAAGTGGAACATACATCAACTAGATGTATCCAACGCATTTTTGCATGGTAAACTCACGAACAATGTTAACTTGAAGCAACCGCCGGGATTCTCAGATGCCATTTATCCTAATCATGTGTGTAAACTCAAAAAGGCTCTTTATGGATTGTAACAATCTCCTTGCCAATGGTTTGAGACACTATCTGGAGTTTTACATACACTTGGTTTTAAAACAAACATTTTCGATCCATCGCTCATGATTTATCACCAAAATAGTATTCAAATATATTTCCTAATCTACGTGGATGATATCATGCTCACGGGAAATCACCCAGAAACCATTCAGTCAATTATGGCTCATCTCCACAGCAAATTCAAAATGCGAAATCTGGGCTCATTATCTCAGTTTCTCGGCATTCACACAGAGCATACACCAGCTAGTGTTATCTTAAAGCAACACCGCTACATTCAAATGATATTAGAAAGAGCTGGTATGCAGAATTGTAAACCGGTGGCTACTCCAACTCAATCCAAAAAGTCAGCAATAAAATTTGAAGACATATCCTGTACAGACAACTAGTGGGAGCTCTTCAATATTTGACCTTAACCAGACCTGATATCTCCTACGTTGTAAACAAAGTGAGTGAACATATGCATCATCCCTTAGAAAGTCACTTTGAAGCCTTAAAAAGAATACTACGGTTTCTCAAAGGTACGAGCCACTATGGACTACCTCTTTTTGGTGAATCACTTAAACTACAATCATATGTAGATTCAGATTGGGCGGGTGACAAATCGGATCGGAAATCAATGACCGGCTATTGTAATCTTCTCGGAAATTTCCCCATTTCTTGGAGTGTAAAGAAACAGACAACTGTTGCCAGATCATTGACTGAAGTGGAATACAAAGTTTTAGCCTCAGCTGTTGCCGAAATAATCTGGTTGAGACAATTTCTACAAGAACTTGGCTGTCCGTAAAAAAAATCCACTCCGTTATACTGTGATAATACATCTGCTATAGCATTAGCAAACAATCCGGTTTACCACGCCAGAACAAAACACATAGAAATTAATTGTCACTTTATTCGAAATTGCATCAAGGAACAAACAATTCAGGTTCATCATATTTCTAGCAAAGATCAACTTGTTGATTTGTTCACAAAGTCGCTACCTAGAGCTCAATTTCGACTGATATCATCCAAGCTGATATCTTCCACCGAAACATCAGCTTGAGGGAGGGGGTTAGACAAATCAAAAAAGTGTCAAGACAATTCGGTTACATGACAGCTGTAATGTACAACTGTACCGTACGGTTACAGCTCACACGAAATGTATAAATACATGTAACAGGTCTCTGAAATGAATAGAATACATCTTCCTCTAAACTTTTAGTTGTCTCTGTAACACAGAGCTTCTCTGTCTTTATACCATAAAACTTCTCATGCGAGATATTGAGTGACAGTTTGGTTGCGCATTTAGATGTAATGAAGTTCGTTTTTTAATTAAATGATTTGGGATCGATTGGTTGGTTGAAGGCAATAAGGTAGAAGAAGATAGCGGAAGAAAGTTTGTCATTGATGCGTGGGTTTTTTCGTATATCTTAATCGTGCCTTAATACAGAATGGAAGAGTTTATATAATAATACAGCAGACAGATAGTTAGAGAATAGTAAAGTTCGTTTCTGGCAGACTGCGCCTGCAAGGTGAGTGGAGCAGTAGTTCAAGTCTGAGGTAGGTGGATCACGTTATGCTGTGTAGGGCATGAGGCTCATTGGACTGACTTGTTAACACATTGCAACCTATTAATCAATTTCCTTCCCTGCTTCCTCCACCTCTTTCTTCTCTTCGATTTTCCACTTCTTCATGAGTGTCACTTCAAACTTGTCGAGGTTGAATGTTATTGTCTCTCTTTCAATCAGTGAAGGAATCGAGCTCTCACAAGAAGAAATTGGAGGAAGATGATGCGATGCTCAAAAGGTGTTTTAGTTCCACCTTAGCTCATATAAATAAGGCTTTAGCTCATATAAAAAAGTGTAAGCCTTATTTCTTACGCTCCATCAGGGTCATCAATATGTTATAATTTATTTGAATTTTTATTTTGTCAATTTGTCCTCAATCCAATCGGGATCAGAAGAAGCCTACAGGAAATCAATTCAAAACTATCCAATCCTCCTTCAATCGATCAAATATCTGAAGACTCGCCACCTAATTTCACTAAGCTTGAGCATGTTCAGATCATACAAGACACACCAATTGGACCATCTCCTAGCATATCCTCCTAATTTCCTCTTCTTTTCCCAATCAAATTCACTCTTTAAATTCCATTGAGGATATCTTTTGACTCTTACATGCTTACAATCATTGCTACCCAGTCCAACCACTCCTATGATGTCACACGACCACCTCAGATATGCAGCAATTGTAGTAATTTACCTATCTAGCACATAAATCATTAGCTCCCTTGCTCTAAAACAATATTGTTATGTGTGGAATCTGATTGTGTTGATAGATCGGGTTATTCTATTGTCTTAGACCTCAAAGCTTGTCATGTACACTGGGGGTACGGGTGGTTTACCCTATGCTTGGGTTTGAGTGCTTTGAACTCAAATTTTTTTCCGTACAACGCCTCGACGTTGCATACCCGAGCGCCCTGACGTTGTATTCCCAAGTGCTCTAATGCTGAACGACAGAGAGCAGAGCGCTGCAGCGGTGCAAGACAGAGGCTTGAGCGCCGCAATGCTCCAAACTTGCGCCACAGTGTTGCGAGATAGAATGGATGGTTTTCTTTCTTGTTTTTTGAAGGGTTGCATCCCTTGGAGTTATTTTACTTGGCTTTCTCTCGTATTTTCAGTTAGGGTAAGAGTGAGAATGGTGCATGTGAGAAGAGAAGCAAGGAGAGAGTGAGAGAGAAGGGAGATCTGTATTTATTTCTCCCAATTTTCATAGTGGATTTCTTGGTGTGGTGTGGCTTCGTGATTTTTTTCCCCTATTTTGAGTTTTTCCATGTTAAATTCGTGCGTCTTTTACTTTTTCGTTGCTTTTACTTTCTTTCTTGTTTTATCATTGTGGTGTTTACTCCTCATCCCCAACAAATATTATTAATTGCATTTACTTCTGCATTGTCATGGCATGGTTATAAAACCCATACCGCCAGTGACAAGATCATTCATAGGCTGCCACTTGGTGCATGAACGCCTTACATCTCACCATGTGGACCATGTGGATCACATCCGCTATATTTGTTAGAACTTATTATGTGTGACTCGCATGTTGCCTTCCACTTATCATTGCCTTCATCATAAATACTTCTTCTGGCCTCTATGAGGGATTATGGATTCTAACCGTGAATTCTGAACTTTTTATTGTTGAGATCAAACTCCTATTGTAAGGAGGAGAGACTCAGTAGCCCAGGCCTTAAGAGCTTTTATTCTTTTTGCTTTCCTTCCTCCAGCATAATGAAGCTTGCTCTCCTCCTATGGTGGAGTCAACTAGTTGAATCACTCAAATATTTTGACTATTTCTTCGTTTGTCTAATATTTTTCTACTGGGCTCCCTTTCTTTTCCTTTCTCATTGAGCTGATGCTTTGGTTCAATCTCTTCTGTTCGTTCTTCAAAATTATTTTCTCCTGCTCACTAATTGTCTCAATTTTAATTATTATTATTCAAATTATTTATGAAAGATAATATCAAATTGAATCTATTAGTTCTATGTGGAATATGATTGTGTTGTGTTGTTGTCTCAAACCTCAATTCAATATGTCGGAGGGGGTGTTGTAGGGGGTCCTTTCCCTGTTTTTGTTTGAGTGATTTGTGTTAGTTTTGTGCGGATTCTGATTGTGTTGATCAATTATGTTATGCTATTGTCTTATATCTCAAATTAGCATGTTGAACTTGCTGGGGGGTTATAGGAGGTGTTTACCCTGTTTGGGTTTTGGCGCCCAATGCTACATATTTTCTAGGTGAAAAAGATAGAGAACTGAGCGCTGCGACGCTTTAGATGATGGCGTTACGGTGCTGTTAGGCAGATTGAATGACAGAGATTTGAGGCCCACGACGCTCCAATCTGGCATCACAACGCTGTGAGGCGGCCTAATTTTTTTCTTTCTCGTTTTTCATTAAGGTGGCGTCCCTTTGTGGTTGATATATTTTTTCTTTATTATTGTATGAGAACGGTGTAAGAAAGAAGAGAGTCAAGGAGAGAGCGAGAGAGAAGAGAGATTTGCACAAAATTTTCTCCATTTACATAGTGAATTTCTTGGTTTGGTGTGGCTTTGTGTTTTTTTTTCCGATTTCAAATTTTTTCACGTTATATCCTAGTGTTTTATCATTTTCGCTACATTTTTTATTTCTTGTTTTTGTTCGTTACATGGTTTCGCTTCTTCTTCCCAACAGCTGGTATCAGAGCCACGTTCTTCAATTCGAGTGGGAGTGATGGCCGACGAAGCAAGATATAAGATTGAGAAGTTTAACGGTTAGAACTTTGCATTTTGGAGATTACAAATTAAAGATTTGTTGTACTAAAAGATATTTACTGTTGGACGAAATCACCAAGAAGTCGAATTTCAATGACTATGGAGGAGTGAGACGTTTTTGACCAGGCAACCCTAGGTTGGATTCGACTTTCACTTTCATCATATGTTACATTTAACATAGTAAATGAAAATACTATAGTCGATCTTCTGATTGCACTTGCTAAGATGTATGAGAAGCAGTCAGCCTCAAATAAAATGTTCTTGATGAAGAAGTTATTGAATCTGAAGATATTAGACAACACTTCAATACAGAGCACCTGAATATTATGAATATTGTGATGAGTTAGTTGTGTTCAGAAGGCATTAAGACTGATGATGAGGTGAGAGAATTGCTGCTGTTATCTTCATTACCATACATGTGGGATGGGTTGATTACTGATGTGAGTAACTCTTCAGGGAGTTCAAAATTGAACTTTGAGGATATAGTGGGGTTCGTGTTTAATGAAGAGGTTCATAGAAATATAAATGGTGAATCTTTAAATTGAGATCTGAATGTTGAAGCCAAAGAAAGGGGTTTAGATAGAAATTCATATAGAGGGAGATCTAAATCTTAGAAAGGAAAGTCTACTTCAGGTAGAGAGAAAGTTGTATGCTGGAACTGTGAA